AGGGTAATTCAGCACAAGTGTTACATTGTAGCCACAGTTGATTGGGACCTTAAATGAAAAATCAGGAAGATCCCTGGAGTTTCCATCATGTATATTTCTAACCATAGGTACAACACTGAGTGGATGCCAGATGATTATGGAGCCCCTCGGTTCTAATACTTAATGACAAAGTTCCTCTGCTTTCCTTCAACCAGCTTTCTCTGTTGCCAGTTTAGTAAACATGCTACAGTAGCATGAGTTATTGCTCCACTTAACATCATTTGCTCTGTTACCAGTTGAGTATGGTTAAATACACTCAGTTTTGTTTTGTTTTTAATTCTCACTCATGGATACTTTTTCATTCATCTTCACATAGAGTGGGAGAAAGGGAGGGTGAAAGAGAGAGAGAGGGGGGGGGAGAGACAGAGAGAGAGATCGAAATGAGGGACACATTGATTGGCTGCTTCCCGCACGACCACTACCAGAATGAGGGGCTGAACTGCAACCGAGGTATGTCACCTTGACCGGAATCAGAGAAAGGAAGTAAGAAAAAAATAGAACATTGATGGGCTGCCTCCTGCATACTCTGACCGGGAACTGAGCTGGGACCTCTCAATCCACGGAACAGCACTCGATCCACTGAGCCACACTGGCCCGGCACCACTCTATTTCTTAAGGTCTTACTTCTTACTGGCCTCTGAGCTAGTCACAGATTTTTCTGATTAATCACTTTTCCACAAACAAGACACTCTAATGTCATAACATCCTAGGTTTGTTTATTCCTCTTTACTGTATTTTGCTTACTCAGGTGAAAAAAAATGCTTAGCAGAACTAAAATTAACAGGAGAAATGTTAGCCCATGTGATGAAATCTAGAAACAGGGTATCGCATAAAGTAGAGGGTAGTGGTGGTTAGGAAAGAGCACAACCCATTCGTGGCCTAGAAAGTTTACAGGTAGGTCACAGAGAAACGCGGTAGAAATCAACAACCAAAAGTTTCACATAGCTTGACCTCTCCCCTAAACTAAACTACATCAGCTAAGTTAGGCAAATATTTTTCCAAGAGTCAAAGTTTCTACCTTCTTGGACTTGCACCAGCACCTGCTGCAATACCATCTCTAAGGCAATGACAAAATAAATAAACACACTACCCCTGTTATCCTGTTCTTAGGACTCAAAAACTCCTAATCAGAATTTAACAAAGGTCGCAAATAAAAGAAAATATGTACTCACAAAAACAAACTGCTGTAAACTTTTCATAAAACAAATTTATAACCTAAAACTATAGCTTAGTCACAGCAACAAAGAAAAACAGAAATTTATTAAACCGATCTCAAAGACACACTAGCTCCTGCCCTCCAAAAATACCTATCAAGAAGAAAAAATAAAAGGGATCCAAATTGGAAAGGAGGAAGTGAAACTGTCATTATTTGCAGATGACATGATACTATACGTAGAAAACCCCAAAGACTCCATCAAAAATTTATTAGACTTAATAAATGAATTTGGAAAAGTAGCAGTATACAAAATTAACATCAAGAAATTGATGGCATTCTTATACACCAATGATGAACTCACAGAAAAAGAAACTAAGAAAACAATCCCATTTACCATTGCAGCAAAAAAATTAAGATACCTAAGAATAAACTTAACCAAAGAAATAAAGGACCTATTCACAGAAAACTACAGGACATTGAAAAAAGAAATAGAGGAAGATATAAAAAAGTGGAAGCACATACCCTGTTCATGGATCGGAAGAATTAACATCATTAAAATGTCCATATTACCTAAAGCAATCTATAGATTCAATGCAATCCCCATCAAAATACCAACGGCATACTTCACAGAATTAGAACAAATACTTCAAAAGTTCATATGGAACCAAAAAAGACCTCAAATAGCCACAGCAATCTTGAAAAAGAACAACAAAGTTGGAGGGATCACATTACCAGATTTCAGGTTATACTACAAAGCCACCGTAATCAAAACAGCCTGGTACTGGCACAAGAACAGGCATATAGATCAGTGGAACAGAACAGAGAACCCAGAAATGGACCCAAGGCAATATGCTCAATTAATATTTGACAAAGGTGGCAAGAGCAGACAGTGGAGTAAGGACAGCCTCTTTAATAAATGGTGTTGGGAAAATTGGACGGCTACATGCAGAAAAATTAAACTAGACCATCAACTTACACCCTACACAAGAATAAACTCAAAATAGATAAAAGACTTAAATGTGACTCATGAATCCATAAAAATCCTAGAAGAAACTGTAGGCAATAAATTTCAGACATCAGACTCAGCAAAATTTTCACTGATACATCAGCTAAGGCAATAGAAACAAAGGAGAAAATGAACACATGGGACTACATCAAACTCAAAAGCTTCTGCAGAGCAAAAGATACAATCATCAAAACAAAAAGGCTACCCACTGTATGGGAAAGCATAACTGCCAATGATATATTAAATAAGGGGTTAATTTCCAATATATATAGAGTGCTCATACAACTCAACGAAAGGAAGACAAAGAACCCAATTAAAAAATGGGCAGAGGAACTAAATAGACACCTCTCCAAACAGGACATACAAATGGCTAAGAGACATATGAAGAAATGCTCAACATCACTAATCATCAGAGAGATGCAAATTAAAACAATGAGGTATCACCTCACATCTGTCAGAATGGCTGTCATCAACAAATCATCAAACAACAAGTGTTGGCGAGGGTGTGGAGAAAAGGGGACTCTAGTACACTGCTGGTGGGAATGCAGACTGGTGCACCCACTATGGAAAACAATATGGTGTTACCTGAGAAAATTAAAAATTTAACTTCCATTTGACCCAGTGATCCCACTTCTAGGAATATACCCTAAGAAGCCTGAAACACCAATCCGAAAGAATATATGTACCCCCATGTTTGTAGCAGCACTATTTACAATAGCTAACATCTGGAAACAGCCCAAGTGTCCATCAGTAGACGAATGGATAAAAAAACAGTGGTATATATACACAATGGAGTACTACACAGCTGTAAGAAAGAAAGATTCTTATCCTTTGAGACTACATGGAGGGACCTGGAAAGTATCATCCTAAGTGAAACAAGCCAAACAGAGAAAGACAAGTCTCATACGATCTCACTTATTTGTGGAATATAATGAGCATAACAGTCTGAGGAATGGGGTAGTCCCAGAGATGTGGAAGTGGAGTACAGACTGACAATCTGCAGAAGAGGGAGTGGTGGGGGAGAGATAAACCACAGAACTCATATGCATGTATGCATGAACAATGGACATGGACAACAAAGCTGGACAGGGCGGGGGGGGGGCGGATCAGTGGGGGAAAAAGGAGAAACATCTGTAACAAAAATTAATTTAAAAAAAAAACTTTTTTAACATAAAGAAATGACACACACACACACACACACACACACACAAATACCTGTCAAACAATAAAAGAACCAATAAAAAAAGTACCTTCTTTGCCCAAAGCAATATTCTAGGTCCGTTAGAACTTACAGAAGATAAAACCTGGACCTTGAATTTACAGAATTGAGTGGAAAAGAGGAGAGAGGAAAATAAATAAAAAGTTATAAGGAAAAAATATTAATAAATAAACTGCAATATTAAGAAAATAAAGAAAAAACAGTAACATGTAGTTAGGCCATGACATGAAATATTCTTAGGAAAATCTGGCAAAAAGGACCTTATACAACAATGTCAAAATGTGTCCTGGCTACAAGAAGCAGATGGGATTAACAGACATGGGCTATGATCTTAAACAAGAAACACCCAGTTTCCATGTCCTTTTCATACAAGTAAGTTACACATCCCCACTGAGGGAGAAGAATATATTTAATGTCCTGCTTAGGTCTTCTTTGTGTAGAAAATCTGATTACTTGCTTACTCATTTCTTATGTCTCCATAAACAATTTAGGGGAAATTTGTCTCTATGTATTCTCTAATAAGATGTAGGAAAACTGGGATTGGAAAGTCACTGCGTGCCAACAATTTTATCCCAGAAAAAATACTGATACATATTGGGCCACAACATCTACCCTACCTACCTACCCTGCACCAAGCACTCAGTCAGTTATTCCTCACAAAGACTTGGCGATAGACCAACCTGCTCCTGTGTCCACACCAGCGACCAAGTATATCAGCCCAATGCAAACTATTTAGGTTAGGAAAACCTCCCACCTTTGAGATTCTTCAATGCAGCACCTCCCAACTCACCCCTAATAATAAAACTCAAGCAACTACCCTTTCAATTAAAAATTTTTTAAATTGTAAAAAAGCTTCCATTTGAAAAATTTTGATTAAAAAGATTTTTTAAAAAAAAACACACTTTCGATTCCCTGACTCTAAACTTCCAGTTCTCAAAATGCATTTATTTTTTTACTCTTAGCAATATATTTACACTTAAGAGATTTATTTTGCATGAGCCTTCTATCTTAAAAAATTATAGACCACAATATACCAAATGCAATCATTTCCTTTTGTACAATGAATGACATCCAATCTTTATCAATTTTGGTAAGTTACAAATTCGGTAAAAGCAGTTTAATTTTTTTTCTTTGTTTATTTTTATTTATTTATTTATTTATTTATTTATTTATTTATTTATTTATTTATTTTAGAGAAAGAGGAAGGGAGAGGGAGAGAGAGATAGAAACATCGATGAGAGAGACCATCAATTGGCTGCTTCCTGCATGCCCCCCACTGGGGATCAGGCCCACAACCTGGGCATGTGCCCTGACCAAGAATCAAACCAGAGACCTCTTGGTGCATGGGTCAATGCTCAAACACTAAGCCACACCAGCCGGGCAAAAGTTTACTTTAATAAATAACTTATAATATCAGCCTCAAGGAGCAGGGAAGATTTTTACTGGCAGAAGAAAAAATTAGTAATGAAATTTGACCTTGACAAATTATTTGATGTAAAGACAAACACGGCTGGCTTGTGAAGACTGGAGTATTTTAGCTACCAGCTACTGATTAAAAACGAAAAGAAGTATCAACTTACCAACAACTGATGCACCTCTTTCTGCAAAAGCCAGAGCGTAGGTTCGGCCCAGTCCTAATGAAAAACAAAATAATCAGAAAGTTGAGCAAATGTTAGCATAATTTTTTTGGTCCACTCAACCCAATCAACTCAAGTAACTGGTGAGCAATTAATTAAATGTCTTCATTAGTTCTCTCAACCTCTTCTACTTACAGAAGTTAGAAAGCTTAAAACTGTATTTTCTACCTATTCTACCTATGATTTCCTACCATTCTACCAGCTGCTAGGATGCCAGATGTGAAATGAATTCCACTATTAAATGCATTTGCATGAAATCTGGAAAATAGAAATGAAGCAGAAGCCACCTCATTGTGACTTCTAGCTGTTGCTGCTGGTTAAGAAGCAGATTTCTTGAAGCTTCTTCCTACGTGTTAAGAAACAGTGAATGTAGTGCCAACTTCTTGATCTAGCTCCCTAAATCTGGATGGCAGCTTTCATTTTCTACATGCCTATCCAATGACTATTTGGGCTGGTTATGGTAGTTTAGTTTATTTTTTATACGAACTATTTTTTTTTCAGAGAGAGCAAGGGAGAGGGAGATAGAAATATCGATGAGAGAGAGCACCGATTGGCCGCCTCCTGCATGCCCCCCACTGGGGATTGGGCCCACAACCTGGGCATGTACCCTGACTGGGAATCGAACAGGTGCATGGATCGATGCTAAACCATTGAACCACACCAGCTGGGCTGGCTGTGGCAGTTTAAATGGCAGCCTTGAAGGTTGTGGCTCCTAATGGACCAGTTCCGTATTGTTCTACAAAGCATTCTAAGAGGAACTACTAAAAATACAAATGGCTAAGTTAAATCCCTTCCTGCTTCAAATAGCTAGTGATTTCTATATTCTGTACTGGACTTTGATAACACAATCACCAAACATATATTTAATTCTTTTTTTTTTTTTAATTTTTAAAATTTATCTCTTTTGTTCAAAGTATTACAAATGTCCCCTCTTTTCCCCATTGACACCCTCCTCCCTGTTCCTACCCTCCTCCTACCTTCCCCACACTATTGTCTGTGTCCATCGGTAATGTATACATGAATATAAATTATTTGGTTTATTTCTTTTTGTTCTTGTTTTTTAAGGAAGATGCTTACATCACTAAATTTAATACATTTTTATAATGTAAATACTTAAAAAACACAAATTTCTCTAAAGCGCTATCAGTTTTTACTTTATGTAACTTGAACTGGTATTACTAGGTGAATACATATTTAGGACTTCTATGTCTCTTGATGAATGGAAACTTTTTTCCCCAGATAATATTTCTTTTTTTTTTTAACTTATCTTTATTGTTAAATGTATTACACATGTCCCCCTTTTTTTTCCCATTGACCCCCTCCTCCCCAATCCCGCCCCCCTCCTGCCTTCCCCACACTATTGTCTGTCTCCACTGGTTATGCATATATACATAGAAGTTATTTGGTTTATCTTATCCCACCTTCCCTCCCCCCTTACCTTTCAGGTTCATCAGTTAAACAACCAATTTGTCTCATACAACTTGAACAAAAAGAAAACAAAGAATTCAATTTAAAAATGAGCAGAGGAGCTAAATAGACACCTCTCTAAACAGGACATACAAATGGCTAAGAGACATATGAAAAATGCTCAATGTCACTAATCATCAGAGAGATGCAAATTAAAACAACTATGAGGTATTACCTCACACCTGCCAGAATGGCCGCCATCAACAAATCATCAAACAACAGGGGCTGACGAGGGTATGGAGAAAAGGGGACTCTAGTACACTGCTGGTGGGAATGCAGACTGGTGCAGCCACTATGGTAATCAAAAAATTAAAAATGGAACTGCCCTTGTGGGTAGAAGTGGGTCCAGTGATCCCACTTCTAGAAATATATCCTAAGAAGCCTGAAACACCAATCAAAAAGAATGTATGTACCCCTATGTTCAAGAAGCACTATTTACAATAGCTAAGATATGGAAACAACCCAAGTGCCCATCAATAAATGAATGGATAAAAAAGCCGTGGTATATATACACAAAGGAATACTATGCAGCTGTAAAAAAAAAAAAAAAAGATCTCTTATCCTTTGAGTCAACATGGAGGGACCTGGAGAGTATTATCCTACATGAATCAAGCCAATCAGAGAAAGACAAATATCACATGATCTCACTTATTTGTGGAATATAATGAACAAAACAAGCTGATGAACAAAATAGACCCAGAGGCACAGAAGTAGGGCACAGACTGACAAACCTCAGAAGAGGGGAGTGGGGGGGGGGACGGAAAGATAAACCACAGAACTTATATGCATGTACGCTTAACCATGGACATATGCTGGGGCAGGGGGAGGGCACAGGATTGGGAGGAAGGTGTCAACAGGGGGAAAAGGAGAAACATCTGTAACTAACTAAATAAATAAAATAAGAAAAAACCAATTCATACCTTTTAATTCCTTCATCTTTTTCACCCACCTCCCAGCCCCCACCCATCTGGCAAGCAACAAAAAGTTCTCTGTATCTATGAGTCTGTTTCTGTTTTGCTTGCTCATTTTGCTTGTAGATTCGATTGTTGGCAGATACGTATTAATTGCCACTTTATTGTTCACATTTTCATTCTTCTCCTTCAACAAGACCCTTCAAGATTTCATATAGTACTGGTTTGGTGGTGACGAACTCCTTTGACTTTTTCTTGTCTGGGATACTCTTGATATGTTCATTGATTCTAAATGATAGCTTTGCAGGATCTTAGTTGTAAGTTGTTGTTTTGCATCACCTTGAATATCTCTTGCCACTCCTTTCTAGCCTGCAAAGTTTCTTGTGAGAAACCAGCTGACAGTCTTATGGGAGCTCCTTTGTAAGTAATGAACTGCTTTTCTCTGCTGCTTTTAACATTCTTTGTCTTTACCCTTTGGCATTTTGATGATGATGTGTCTTGGTGTGGACCTCTTTGTGTTGGTTCATCTTGTTTGGGACTCTATGCTTCCTGAACTTGTATGTCTGTTTCCTCCACCAAGTTAGGGAACTTTTCTGTCATTATTTTTTCAAATAAGTTTTCAATTTCTTGCTCTCTCCTCCCTCTGGCACCCCCATGATGCAAATGTTGGCACACTTGAAGTTGTCCCAAAGGCTCCTTAAACTATCCTCATTGTTTTGGATTCTTTTTTTCTTTGTGCAGTGTTTTTTGCTTCCTTATATTCCAAATCGGTGGTTTGCTTCTCAGCTTTTCTTACTCTACCATTGATTCTCAGTAAATTATTCTTTATTTCAGTTAGTGTATCCTTCATCTCTGACTGGCCTTTTTTATGTTGTTAATGTTCTCACTAAGTTCCTTGGTGTTCTCTTTAAGTTCCCTGAAGTTCTAAGTTCCTTGAGCATCCTTATAACCAGTGTTTTGAACTCTGCATCTCATTGATCGCTTATCTCCATTTTTTTAGTTCTTTGCCTGGAGTTTGTTCTTTTCTTTCATTTGGGACATGTTTGTCTCCTCATCTGGCTGCTTCCCTGTTTGTTTCTAGGTATTAGGTAGTGTTTCTATGTCTCCTAGACTTTATTATAGAGGATGGCCTATTATTGTAGGTGTCCTGTAGGATCCAGTGGTACAGCCTCCCTGATCACCCCAGCTGGACCCTCGAGGTACACCCCTAGTGTGGACTGTATACCCTTCTGCTATAATTGAGTCTTGATTGCTGTTGGCACATCAATGGGAGAGATTTACTCAGGCTGATCAGCTGCAAGGACTGGCTGTTGCAATGACCACTGGCCTCTGGCTCCCTTGGAGGATCAGCTGTCTATTGGCCTACCACACAGAGCCAGACTTACTTCAGCAGGGTTCTGGCACCCGCTGAGTCCACTCATTGAGTGTGTTACTTGTGAAGGTGGTTGGGTGGTGGTGCTTCCATGTGGTCTGAAGCTGTCCACTGGGTGTGCTGGATCTGGGGGGCAAGGTCGGCCTCTGCCTGTGTTTTATCCGGGGCCACCCAGCATAAACTACAAAGTGATCTGCAGACGGCTGCATCTTGTGCTAGGCTTGGAGGTGCCCAGGCAAAGCCACGTTTTGAACCAAGGCTGGCTGCTTCTAGTGCTAGGCCTAGGGCCACTTAACAAGAGGTATGGAGCTGGCTGAGACCAGATACTGCTTGTTTGAGAGATTTTAGGAAAATGTGAAGCAGGAGCTAAGACAGGCCACTCCTATGGTAAAGTCACTGGAAACAGCTTGGGTGGTCCAGAAAGTTGGGTGGGGTAGGGCCTCAAGGAATCACCAGGGTGGGGCAAACAGCGTAAGCCAGGTTGCTGGAGTCCCAGATATGGCTGCTGTCTTCCCTACCCTCTCCCCAAGAAGGCCTCTCCAAAGGAACAAAGGCCTCCACACCTCCTACTAATTTCAATGTGGCTACTTCTTTAATTTTGTAGCTGTAGGACTTCCATTCAGCTCGATTTCAGGTGGTTCTGAATGATGGTTGGTCTGCAGTTTAGTTGTAATTTTGATGTGGTTGTGGGAGGAGGTGAGTACTGAATTTACTTATGCCACTATATTGACTGGAAGTCTATTTAATTCTTAATTAAGGAGCAATTAAATATTTAATTCCAACTCAATGTACACATCGAAAAATGAACAGATATCTATATAAGTCTTACAAGCATAGAATATCTCAGGAAAAATATATGAGGCTGGCAATTAGTGTGTACCTCTGGGGACCGAACTGTGTGACTAGCAACCAAGGGTGGAAGGCTTAGTTTTATACTGTTAAAATTGTTTTAACATGTACATATTTTAAAATGTAAATAGTTGATAAATTTAATTGGTAGTTTATATTGAAATTGTTAAATAAGCATACAAATAACAAATTGAGATGGCTCAAGTAGCAGGCTCTTCTAAAAAGAACCCAAAATATAAACTAAAGATATCACCAAATAATTTATTTTAAAATTTAATCCACTCTGCATAAGAGAGAACTTAGTCAATATAACTCAAGCCTTTTTATCAGATCAAGGCTAAAACGCATGTTCTAAACATGGGGTTTTTAGAAAAACCAAATATTCATGACCAGAATGCAAAAAATTATGGTAACACAGTAGAAAATCATTCGATGAGCCCTGGCCGATTTGACTCAGCAGTTAGAGCGTTGGCTGGTGGAACAAAGAGTTGCCAGTGAGATTTCTGTCAAGAGCATGTACTTTGGTTGTGGTTCAACCCTGCCCTGGTAGGGGTCTGTGGGAAGCAACCAGTCTATGTGTCCCTCTCACCATCGATGTTTTGCTCTCTCCCCCTCTTTCTTCCTCCCTCCCACTTTCTCTCAAGATAAACAGAAAAATATCCTAGGGTGAGAATTAAAAAAAGAAAGAAAGAAAAACATTAGATGAAAGGGATAGGTCTCTAAAAGAGAATGTCCTAAGTTAAACAGAGAATTGTCTCAACTTAAAACCAAGCTATACAATTCTCTCAAAAAAATGTGTCAGTGATCTACCTTTACCATTAAAGCACCTACACTGTACAAAGGGATGATTCACACCCAGAACTGAACACACTGAGACCACTCAAGATTTCATCAAGCTACGCAGAACAGTGCGCAATTTAAAACTTACGAATTGTTTATTCCTGGAATTTTTCCATGTAACATTTTTGGGGCCAAAGGTAACTGCAGTAAACAAGTGACATTTTGGGGGCCAAGGATAACTGCAGAAACAGGTAACATTTGGGGGGCAAAGGGAAACTGCAGTCATGGGTCAAGTAGGGACGAGTGTGGAGTACTTGGCTTGATAAGCACACAAACTCAACCAGGACTCTTAGGTGCCCTCCTCAAAGAAGGCCTCTCGAGAACTAAAAGCACCCGGCAGAGGAAAAGAAATACTAAGTGATTGACTTTTCAAAGGCAAGGAACTGATAGCTCTACTCCTCTGGGGGTGATTGCACCCCCAGTCGCTTTTTCACAACCTTTAAAAGACTTGAGAGAGGCCGAAGAGAGCCTCCGGGCAGGCGAGTCGCAGCTAGTGCGCAGAGCCGGGCGCCTACCAGGACCTTTACCTTGCTCTGCAACCCGCAGCGCAGCGCAGCCTCTCTCCCCGCGCTACACGGGCCGAGGGAGGCTCCCACAACTCCAGGTTGGCCGGAGTCGGGGCCCCGACAACAGCTGCTCCACGTCCTCCCACCCTGCCCCACAGGGTCCTGTCCCTGGCTCCCCAAGCCGCTTCTTCCCCCCACCCGTCACCGATGGCCGCAGCACCCGACGCTGGGACCGAGGCTGCGGCTGCGCGCGAATCCCAGGCCCGGAAAGAGGGGATCGCCCTTCAGCCTTCGCTTGCTCACCTCCCCCTGCGCCGGTGACCAATACCACCCGCCCGTCGAATCTCAGTGGAGAGGCCATGAGTCCAGCCTGCAACGAAGCACACACACAAACAGAACCTCAGGAGCTCAGACTGCTGCGGGACAGGAGAAGACAGGCAGCGGCAGAGGCGGGGTGGGAGTGACCTGCCAGTTTCTGGGAAGGAGACGGACACCGTAGTTTTCCTAGTGCGCCTGCGCGGAGATCCCTGGCCCTCTGGGAAATGTAGTCCAGCGTGCCTCCAGCCGCGGAGAGAGCCTGCCTGAGAGGCTTGGCTCGAAAGGCTAGTTCTGTTGCACCAAGTAGTGATAGGGGCTGCTGGGACCTGTGTGGTGAAATGGCCGAGTTGGCACCTTGTTTATTCATTCACCTGTTGTTTTGTCATTCACTCAACAAGCTCTCCTAGATTTAGAAGCTAGCCTAGAGAAATATCCTTAGGTAGCCTTCAAAACAGCCTCTGAGAAGAAATGCCATCCTTACCAAAGGGTAAAGATTTCTCAGGATGTAATCCCTGGACTTCCTGCATGAAAATCATCCGGAAAGTGTCAAAAATGCATAGTCGCAGACCCCAATGCTGACCTCCCAAAATAGAATCTCGGGACAAAAAAATGTTAAGTGCTTCTAAATGATTTTTGGTTTCGTATGTTGATAATAGTCCTATGCTGTAATTCATTCAACATGTATTAAGCGCAAGTTTACAGATGAACAGTTAAGTTCTCCAGAGTTATTCAAAGTCAAATGGTAAATCTTTATGTGTATGTGTGTGTGTGTGTGTGTGTGTGTGTGGCACGTGCCCCTAGTGGGAACCGAACCCAGGATGCTCTGGTCTGCAGGCCGATGCACAACCGCTGAGCCGAACTGGCCAGGGCAGTAAATCTTTAATAACAGTGCAGCATAAGACTTGTGACAAATGTGTACAAGTTAGTGAGTGGTGCCAAAATAAACCGGCCTTATCCCTGCTGGGGAAAGCTTTTCAAAGGGGATGGCTTCCAAAGTACTTGAAGAAGTGAACTCTGCAAATGGAGGACCTTACAGACAATGAAAATACTGACTAGGTTGCAGGGGAAGGGGAGAGGGTATGGCCACAGAAGTAAGCAGAGTCAGTCAGGCCGCGCTTTGATGTTTTAATTTAGTGCTGAGAATGATTTTAAGCAGGATTACTCCAGGGAACACATTTATATCATGGAAAGATCGCTTTGTGCTATTATTGAGGACTGATTGGAGGTGGACAAGGAAAACTGAGAGAAACCTACTTGGAAAAATTATGGGGGTCAGAAGTAAGTCAGAGGAAATGTGGAAGAGGAAAAATTTGAAGATATTTTTGGAAACGGAGTCAGGTCTTTGTGATTAATTGGATGTGGAAGTGAGAGAGGAGCAACTGAAATAACCCCTATATTTCCGGCTTGAGAGTCTAGGTTATGGTGGGACGTTCATCAGAAGAAGGAATAGTGGGAGAAGAGCAGCATTTAGAGCAAACACGACTGTGATTTGGGACAAACCGCGTTTGAGAAGCGAATGGAAGCTATGGCTGGAGCTCCCTGGCAGACAGCTGTGGTTCTTAGAGCTCTGAGAGTTTGATTTCAGTGTTCAGGCAGAGCAAGAGACATCTCTCTGTAACTTAAGACTAAATCTCCTTTGCCTGAAAGCTGGCCCCTACAGCAGCAACTTGCTCTCTTAGCCATTTGTGTACATCTGCCTTATGACTTTGACCCCTGAATTCCAGTGCCCACGGAAGCCCAGGAAGGCTAGCCCAGAGGGCACTGGACCCAAAGATAAGAAAGCCCTTGTGACATGAAAGAGGTCACTCCTAAAGCTTTGGGCCAGGACCTCACCGCGCCCCAGTGCCACCTCCAACCAACGGGGCCGGTTGCCTGGAGATGGGGCCCTCCTCTCAGTCCCATGCTGGCCCTGGCTCTGCCACCAGCGCACAGCTGCTCCCTGAAAAGGTGAGTCTACCCTTGCTTCAGATCAATGACCACCTTCTTTGCTTACTGGCCACAAGGAAGGCCCAGAGGCCTAGTCTGCAGGCATTTTAAATCCAGGCCTGAATCAAATGCAAAAGTGATCTTTGGGCACAGCCATGTGGGAATCCAAGGTTCAAGGGTAAGCCGGTGTAACAGCTCAGCAGACTTTGGTCTCCACGCCCCTGATTCCTGCAGAGAAAGCTGAAGTAGCTAGGCACTGCAGCAGAGCCAAATTTCCTCAAACTAGATCCCACCAGAAAGCTTAGTATACTGTGCACTGGCCCTTTTTCCAAGCTCTACCTGGCCCAGGTGCCCAGATATCCTTGTTAGGGTGTCTGTCTCGATCTTGTGTTTTAATGTTTCCTGTTTAACCCAATAACCCTGTTCTTATGTTTAAAATGTTTTTAATTAAAAAAAGAGAAAAAAGGCTATTTTTCCTATTTTTGACAGTGCAGAATCAACCCAGTTGTCACCTACAGTGAGGTGCGTTCAGCCACAGACCTACAACGGGAGCGAGAATTAAAGCTTTATCAGCTATTGCTGGGAGCCAATACTCCACTTACCAGACTCACAACTGGGTGCTGGCTAGTCCTAGACCAGAGCCAACAAGCATAGGTAAATGCAAGTGCCTAGCAGGTGTCCAAATATGTCTTGAGTATGAATGAGAGGCAATACAGATTTAGGAATTACAGTCATGGAAGTACAGTGAGGTGTGTAATTTAAAACACTACAAAAAGTGTTGCTGTACAGTAGAAATGTAGATTATTTTATCTAATGGTCTCATCTTTCTCTCAAGTCCTCGTTCTCATGGGAGGAGAGGCAGAAAAGGAAACTCAAACTTGCCAGTTAAAAATAACTGCATCTGTGCCCTGGCCGGTTTGGCTCAGCGGTTAGAGCGTCGGCCTGCGGTCCTGAGAGACCCGGGTTCGGTTCCCGCTAAGGGCACGTACCTCGGTTGCAGTTTGTCCCCGGCCCTGGTTGGTTGTGCGGGTGGCAGCCACTCGATGTGTCCCTTTCACATCGATGTTTCCCTCTCTCTCTCTCTCTCTCTTCCTCTCTCTCCCTCCCACTCTACCTGAACAAAAAATGGAAAAATGTCCTCGGGTGAGGATAAAATAAATAAATAAATAAAATAACTCCATCTGTTTGGGAGTGAATGCTGTCTTTCAGGATTTCTCCCTCCTGCCTCTCCTAGCCTGTATGTCACCTTAACATAGAAGAAATGTTTGGCAAGAGCAGGGGTGGTCCTTAAAGCCAAGCTGGCCTCTGCTTCTCCCCTCACCTACTGATAAAGTCTGTGGCAAATAAAACTCGTGGTTTATTTTCTCAGCATAATTGAGGGGTCTCATTGGTCCTCAACCCACCTGTACTGAGCTTCAACTCAAATCTATGTAGCCTCTGAATCATATTTTCATCAATATGTGAGTTTACTCTGAGAATCTGCTATGAATTATGTCTTACCCTCTGAACAATTTTAGCAATTTCTATGTAAGTCTAAACATATTTTGAATTTTAAAATTATTCAAATAATAGTTCAAAAAATATATGCCAGCCAGGATCCAAAGGAGACAGGCATAAATAAAAACTTCAACTTGCTCATCATACAGATCAATAAAGCTATTGCCATTCTGTGGCAGTCACCTCATGAGGATTCAAAGTCACCTGCATGGCAGTGTCTTCTCAGGGTCAAAATCTATCTGGTGCTTCTGTCCTTTTTATTGGCTCATCTCTTCAGGCCCAGACCATGAAGGGGACAAGGGGTGTTGGGTTCTGAAGAACCCAGCCAATCATAGCCCTTATTATCCACCCTCCTAATCTTTTCCATTCCCTTCCCAGTAAGAATTCTATTTAATCTTTCCTGCTGGTCAGAACTCCTCCTAAGAGTGTCCTCTCTTTTCTAAGGAGTCACTCTTCTAAGGGAGACACTAAGCTTGATGGCTCAGCCCTGATGCTCAGAGAACATGAAGGGATATTACAGAGAAACAATATTCTTCTCTTATGTGCTTCTCAGTCTCTGAACCTGCTTTCAGTTGTTGGAGGAGACAGTACCTCCATCTATTTCCTACCTCAGAGACTGAAAATATCAGATACCTTTCTAGCCTCCCTTGTAGCTAGGCATAGCACATGACCTAAGTTCTACCAATCAGATGCTTCTCCCAAGGCACTGAATTGGGGTGGAATGACAAACTATACCAAACCGTTCTGGTGATAAATGACAGCAGCACTGACATCAGCTCTAGTGGGAGTGGGTGACATTCAGCGGCAGTAGTGTCAGTGGTGGGAGTCCAGCTGCAAGGACAATGGAATCTTCATCAGACCACCTGGGGCATGATTTGGGTGTGGCTCCTAACTGCAGAGGCTCTGAACCTCACTCCCTGCCCTTCCTGCAAATTCTGTCAGCTGTTGCTGAGCTGCAGCTGATTTGAGATTACAACTGCACAGTCTGGTTTAGCACTTGTAAACCACCATGGCCCAAGTTTAATGAAAAACAACAAATTCATCTGGGAATCAACGCAGGCTTTCTAGGACCTCATGCTAAGTCAGGATCAAGTCTTGGATAGAGACAGAAAATTTCTTTCCTGGGATCACCCACAACTCTCTAGGGAACCCTCTATTGCACTTGTAGTTCAGGCAGCTGAACTACATGGACTTCAGACCCATTGTTAGCACCTCTAGAATGAAGCACTTTAGACTTGTCTTTTTCTCGAGCTCAGTTTAAGAGATAGAGATCTAGTTAATTTTTTACGAAACTTTTCCTCCTTTATCTTGTTTCTAAGCCTTGGAAAGATGACCCAAGTTGGACCTTATGCAGAAAAAAAAAAAAAAAAAAACCGTGTGTGTGTGTGTGTGTGTGTGTGTGTGTGTGTACATCCTTTAGAGAAGGGAAGTCTCTGGCAGCACGCCCTCACTAGGCCTCTGAATCACGGCCTTCATGGTAACAGTAGCTGCAGCACTGCTGGAGAAAGCCTTGGGTTTCATCAAGATTCCTGGGAGCGCGTGAAAGCACAGCTAACCTCTTTACAAAAGATTTCCCCAGTTGAGGTTAGATTCACAGACCATGGCCAACTAGCACAGCATGACTGGTCGACAAGCTCAGACAAGAAGCCTTTCTCCATGCCTCAGATAACCCTAAACCAAGTGGCTGGCAGCTGCAGTATAGGTCTGGGTTGCACTGGA